TTTAGTGTACTTGAGTCCTTTCTGGAGGGTGAATTCTAGCTAGTGTGCTGCACTTCCCATGATGGGAAAAGGAAATTCATCTCAGAGAGGTAGATCCTTCAGGTACTATTTTAAAATGTTTGTTCTCTTCTCAGGGCCCAAAGTTTTTTGATTCTCCTTGAAAACTGATTGCTATTATGAAGTATAGTTGTAAAGTCTTTAATAACAGTAGGTAAAAAAACCACCTGTTTAATGACAGAGGTAAGGTAAAAGAGGCACCTGTCTGGTACGACAGGCTGCCTTTATTATAGTGCTGCCATCATCAGTAAGAGACCCTTCAGAGTTTTTGTGCAGTCCTAAGCCAGTTAGAGTTTTTCTGGACAAGACATGTATGATATAGTCTTAGAGGGAGGGGGCCATTCTCGAATTGTATACTATGGATATAATAAATATCACGTACCATTTTATAAGCTTAATGAGAACTTTTTAAAGATTCTTTTTGTTTGTTTACCCAGCTGCTCTGGCTGAGGTTTCTGAAATGGTGGCTCAGCTCCATGGCAATATGATAAAGATGGAGAACTTCCAGAAGCTGCATGAACTGAAGAAAGATTTGATAGGCATTGATAATCTGGTAATCCCGGGAAGGGTAAGTGATATACATTTAATGGCAGTACCACATTCGTACATGCTCTGAATTTATCAGCAAACTAGTTTCAGTACACGAGATAATGTTTTAGACCAGCGCTTCCCAACTGGTGTACCATCAGGCATGTCCAGGTGTGCTGCGGCACTTTGGGCTAGAACCATGCCTCCAGCCAGCCAGATGGGGAGCGTGGCTTCAGCCAGTGATTCAAGCACCATGCCACCAGCCGCTCTGTGTTCATTCATGTATCTCCCCCCCGAGCTTTTGGCCGCTTGCCACCACTGCTCCCCCACACCACTTTTGGCCAGTGTGCCGTGGGGTGGGAGGGGTCGTGTAAGTGTGCCGTGTGGTGAAAAAGGTTGGGATACACTGTTCTAGACATCCGTTTCTTCTGTGTGAGTTATAAAATTGCTATGCCCTACCTTCAGACCATTTTAGAACTGCTTTAAATACGATTCTGGGAACACTCTGTTTAAGAGCCAGTCTGGATAAGGACCACAAGTCTGATGCTAACCTTAGTGGTCTTGCATTTTCTTATGTAGTTCCAGATGTAATTTGCATCTTTTTCCTTTCCCAAGGACTGTCAATCCAATGTAAAATTTAGACACCATAGGAAGCTATGCTCAAAAGGGAACAGTCCCTTTGTTGTCACAGGGTCTATTTTTTATGCAGATGTGACTTCTAGGGATTTTAAGCATGAAATGGACTGCTTAAACAGAGAGTCAAATCATGATGCTTGGCACAGCAGTTGCACTTGAACTATTGCAAGTTTCCTCTTGTTTGTTGCTGGCATTTTTTGAAATTCCCCAATTCAAGCACACATTGTAGCTTGAGGGAAAAATAAGACATTTGTACTGGAGAAACTCATCTTTTCCATACAGGCAAGCACTGAAATGGGAGCTCTCTTCTTAAGCAGAGAAGTCTCTTTAGTCCACAAGTAGCAATACAGAATCATTTTTGAGACACTATTGTGTCATACGTTTTCAAATTAATAAGGTTAATATAGCAGCATGAGCAGTTAATTCGCTTCTCCGCTTTTTTTTTTACTGTCCCTGGCTTATTCATATTCCTGTTCCGTATGCACTTCTATCTCTGCCTTCCTGTTAATGTATTTCTCAGTATTACCTATGCACAAAATTAGAGTTGCACCTTTGTCTCCATTGAAAAAATGTACTTGCTTTTATGCATATCACTGAATAAGTCAGTTTCATGGCTGACATCTCACAGGAGGCAGGTTGCCTTCTTCCAAATGTCCTGCACACTCTGCTGC